TTATTCTTCACTTATAGGGGTTAAAACAGAGGGATTTCCCTGTGTCATTGCTGGCTCATGTAACTAGCACCCTCTGATTGTGCTGGCAAGTACTCCTTGGTTTTGGGAAAACTGGCCCTGATTTCAAATACAATTTGGACTTTTACTTGGGCACCTTACCACAAAGTGGACTATTCTTGGTTTGAGTTTCGGTGTACTGGGGGGCTAGTACGTAAGCTTGTCCAAAAAACTGTGGCCTCCTACAAACTTTAGCATGCTTTCAATACGGGAAAAAGTGCTGAATTTAAGTATGTTTGATGAAAAAAAAATTCTAGGGGAAGATCTTGTCCCAGTTATCCTGTTCTTAATCTACTCTAAGGCAGTGCAGATACAGTAAATTACCTCCCTGCTGCAAGAGAGCAGATAAGCTGAGACTATGTGAAAGTGCCTGGCTGAGGGTCACAAGCGGGAATTGAAATTTAGCCTTCTCTACCAATTGGTTCCTTCAATTTTACTTTCTTACAAAAGAGGCTTTCTTTGATTACCCTGGTTAAAGTAGTCTCCCACCCCATCTAGTCACACTCTGGCAGGGATTGCTGTTGTCCACTTATATCCATTCTCTTTTGGAGTTTTATCGAAACACATGGCCACAGAGGTAGAGACTACATTGCCCAGCATCCCTTGCAGAAAAATGTATCATGGACCGGAAGTTCTAATCAATAGACTCTGAACAGAAGTGATGTGCCCTTAAAAAAATGGGCTCATATTCCCCACAAACATTTTCTCCTTTCTGCTAACTGGAATACAGACCAGATGATAGGAGCTGAAGCAACTAGACAACCGAACGATGAAGTTTACAGAGATGAGAGTGACAAAGGCATTCTACATGTGTCTTTCACCACCTCCTCCAGAGAGTTACAGAGGAAAGAGGAGGAATCCACTTCCATCTTGTTTAAATGTATCTGTGAGTCTCTTTGTTACAAGTAGCCTAGGCTGTACCTTAACCAATGTATCCTGTATGTCAAAACATTGTTTCATTATACAGAGTATTTTCAGTGATCTGCAATTCTCTCATATATTTATGTGCTAAAATGCTTATTGTCTACCTTGCCATGATAGAGTATGTCCTTCATGAAGGCATGGACTTTGTCTTATTAGCTGCTGCAATCTTACTTCTTAGAACTGTAGCTGGATTTAACGATGGTCCTCAAAAAATATTTGGTGAATAAATTAACTGTTTCCAAGTCAAAAGGAAGAAACAGGTGCAGAGAGGTCTTAAGTAATTTGCCCAACTTCATAAAGCTAGTAAGTGGCAGAACCACATTCAAACTCAAGGCCATCTGACTCTGATATTGGAATAGCTGAGGGTCTCTTACTTTAGTCATGTGAAAAAGTCACATGGGGGTGTTTGTTAACATACATTACTGAGTAGTAGCTCAGACACACTGACTCAGTGGATCTCCATCTGCGAATCTAACAAGAACTCCAGGTGATTCTGCAAGGGTTCCTCTGACAGAGCTTTGAGAAAAATCATCATGGCCCTGTGGCTTATTTAGCTATTCAAAACTCTGCATGTCCTTAGAATACACATAAAGA